CTGTACCATTTCTCTCAACTAATAACCAAAAAAAAAAAAGAGGATAACAAAAAACACCTAATAGTTAATGACTAGGAGCAGAAGTACCTCTACCATATCCTTTCTTGTTCTTCTTCCTCTAGCATTGCCTTCATGAGCAAGCAACAATATCAATGAATCAAAATCAAGAACATATTTTGCCAACACAAGTAGAATCTAACTAATGAAAACTATGAAGATTTCATGAAATAAATGCAAATCCACTTACAATTCTCAAGGCTCCTCCAACAGAAAATCCATTAAATTGCGCAGTTTGAATATCCCGAGTCTGGGATCGTTGTAAAACCAATAAATAGCTTTCAGCCTTTGTGTCAGTTCCGTTTTGTCCTTCTCCATACTCATCCGGTCCACTTCTGTTCCACATGTCGGAAGGAGCCCGGCCGGAGGGTCCGAACCCACCGGATACTGCCCTTGGAGTTTGACACCGTCCAGGTGACCCGGATCCGGCCACGGGTGACCTCCAATCAGTTTCGGCAGGGGAACTAAACGATGATCCTTCATATTCTTGTTAGCTGCCCTAGCAGACTTCGAACGGATAGACGCATCCATCCGGTTATCAATAGCATCCACGCGCTGCCGGAGTTCGTTCATCCCGTTCTGGATCTGGGCCATCCCCGCCAGGAGATCGTTCATTGGCCGGAGTTCGTTCATCCCGTCCTGGATCTGGGCCATCCCCGCCAGGAAATCGTTCATTGGATCTGCTCTGGAGATGGATGATGTTACAGTTCTCGAAAAGGCTGCCGGGAAAATGCGACGGCCATTTGAGCTGGCGAGCCGGATTTTATGGCGGAGGGAATTAGGGTTTATGCTGTAATCGCGAGAATCAAGGGATTACAGAGAATTGTTGGAGATACGATGGGCTCCTTTTCAGCCGGCCCAATTCCAAATATTATAAATACTTACCATTTGTAATACTTTAGCTCTTTCCCGGTTTCCACAATTTCAAACCCCTTTTTGATGAAAAAACAGAACTTGCTGCTTATTTCCGGCAGATCATCGTATTTCTCGAAACACAAACGCGCGCTTTTATCAAACCCTTTTTCTCTTTCACTACGCAACATCTGCAGCTACAGGACCCATTTTGGGGACGACAATGTTTACCGCCATAACAGAGCCATCAACAGATTCACAAGGTCTGGCTCTTTGGACTCTGCCGTCAAACTGTTCGATGAAATGCCCGAAAGAGATGTAGTGACATGGAACACTATGATCTCTGGTCATTATCGTTCTGGGTTTCTCGAACAATCTTTAAGGTTGTACGGGCAAATGGTTTCTCAAGGGATTTTGGAGAATCCGTCGACTTTTTCGACCGTCTTGAGTATGTGCGCAATTGGAAAGTTCTTTGAAGAAGGACTCATTGTGCATTGTAGAGCAATCGTTTTCGGGTTTTGCAATAATGTGTACATTGGCTCTGCGCTCGTTGATCTTTATTTGCGAATGGGACTTACCGATGTTGCCTTAAGGCTGTTCGGTGCTTTGAAAGAGAGAAATTTGGCTACTTGGAATATTGTTCTCCGCAGTTTATGTGAAGCCGGAAAGTCGAAAGATTTCTTAAGTATTTATAATGAAATGAAATACGACGGTTTGGAGCCAAACGGGCTCACTTTTTGCTATTTGATTCAGGGCTGCGGTCACGGTAGGTTTCTGGATGAAGGATTGCAGCTTCATTGTTTTGTAATTAAGAACGGATTTGTAAATTTGAATTTGTTCGTAGCAAATGCTTTGGTCGATTTTTACTCTGCCTGTGGTAAGTTGATCGAAACTAAAAAATCATTTGCGGTTATCCCTAAAGAGGATGTTGTTTCTTGGAATTCAATGGTCTCGGTTTGTGCAGCCAATGGTTACTCGTTTGAAGCCCTCGAATTTTTTAACAGGATGCAATTTTGGGGCAAGAGGCCATCTTCTTGCTCGATCGCGGCATTCTTGAAATTGTCTAGCATGGCTGGTAATTTGCTTTTGGGGAAGCAAATTCATTGCTACACTTTGAAATTAGGCTTCAACACAGTCTTCGTTCAATCCGCTTTGATCGACATGTACGGTAAATGTGGCGATCTCCAATGCTCGGTGGGCGTATTTAACAGCATTGGCAAAAGAACCGTTGAGTGTTGCAACCCACTCATGACATCTTTCCTAAAATCTGGTCTAACCGAGGATGCAATTGATCTGTTTGGTCTGATGTTAGACGAGAAAATCGGGTTTGACGAAACGAGTCTCTCTTTGGCCTTGAAAGCGTTATCGAATTCGAATGTGGGTCCCGCTAGTTCTGCCAGCTGTCCAATGCTGCACTGTTGCGCTGTGAAATCGGGCTTCGAATCCGATGTCTCGATTTTGTGCTCACTGATCGACACGTATTCTAAATCGGGCCGGCCTGAATCCTCCTTCAGACTCTTCCGTCAAATTCGCTCGCCGGATGTGCTTTGTTTCACTTCTATAATAAGTGCGCTCGCGCGGGATGGGAAAGGGAAGGAGTGTGTTCGGATGCTATATGAAATGGTCGAAAAGGGTATAAAGCCTGATAACGTGACATTCTTGAGCGTGTTAACGGGCTGCAACCATTCGGGCCTGGTGGAGGAAGGGAGATTGGTATTTTCTTGGATGCGGGCCCATTTTGGCCCGTCTGCTGAGAGGCGGCACTATTCGTGCATGGCGGACCTCTTGGGCCGGGCTGGTTTGTTGGACGAGGCTGAGGAATTGATAGAGGGCAGCCCGTGGGAGGGAGATTACGTAATTTGGAGCTCCGTGTTGAGGAGCTGCAGGATTCACCAACACGAACGGGTTGGGAGGAGGGCCGTGAAGAAGTTGATGGAAATCGAGCCCGATAACCCTTCTGGTTGGGCGCAGGCTTCGAGTTTTTATTGGGAGATTGGGGATTTTGAGGCCGCAAAAGAGTGTCGGGAGATTGGGTTTGCGAGAAAAGTGGGGAAGGAGATAGGTCGGAGTTGGATCGAGACGTGTAGTGATCAGTCGAGCTGTCGATTATAAGCAGAGCACCGGATTTTGTTGAGATTTTCTATGCTCCCATTGAGTTCATATAGCAGCATATATGTTTTCTCCATATGCTTCTTATGCATTCAGAAGAATGAGTGGAGAAATCAATGAACAGAGTTTGTGTGTGAAGTAGTGATTTTGAGTAGCTTATGTTAACTTCATCGTAATATACATACATATTGTCTCGTGTTGTAATTTGTATAGAATCTGCTTATCAAGAATCTTGCATTATCTGTAGTTTGTTCCATGGTGATTCCTGTAAGGTGCTTTTGAGATTTGTGTTTCTAAGTGGTTACATAATATAAGTTACAAAAATTACTATAATACAACACATATAAGTAGTAAGTCGTACAAGTAACAAGTGTCATTTTAAAATATATAATAATATATATTTTTGGCAAAAATTACTAAAAAATATAATAATATATATATTGGGTAAAAAGGTAATTAAATTTTAAAACATCTTTTTTATTAATTTTAAAATTTAATAATAACTTTTTCAAAAAACACCCACGTAATACACACGGGTGTTGTACTAGTTGAAATGAACTCCAAAACTATTGGTCAAATAATTAAATTTGACTAAACAAGTAAAATAATGTGAATCTAGAACAATCGACTCGTTGACTAATCAAGCTCAAACTCAACTTATTTATCAATTGAATCGAGCTAAATTCAAGTTAATCGAACTCCAACTCGACTTATTTATTTAGCAAGAAGCAATCCAGTTGATGAGCAACCATTTTCATTTAACATTTCTTCACACTGCATTAAGAAAAACAAACTTAACTAAATCACTGCCGAGCCTTGAAATCCCAACGCTCTCATGACTCACGAGGAAAGATCCAACGGTGGTGAGAAAGCAGACACACAGTCAACGAATGGTATTCATAAGATCCAACGGTGGTGGAAAAGCAGACACGCACGCTGTGAAGGGTCAACCAATGCTATTTCCCTAAGGGGCAGTCCCGTCATTTCAAGAACTACCAAATGGCAAAATGGTCATTTCAGTTCAAAACATTTGGAGAGCATCTCGTATAAATAACCACTGTCTTGCGTCCCTCAATCGTCCCCGAAAAATAGATTCGCGTTAGCCTCAGGCAGCTCCACAAAAAGGCATCAGACTCTTTCTGAAAATTTTATCGATCCATCTTCTCAAGGTATGCGATTAAAAAATTGTTCGTGTTCAAAATCTGTGTGCTTGTATCTCTTTAGATTTTGTTTTTGGTTGTGTTTGGTTTTGATTTTATTAGTTTGTTGTAATGATCGGGTTTCGATTGTGCGATCTCGAATTCCGATGTGTCTGAGATTCTTAAATCGGCGTCGATCGAGTTTTTTGTGCTAGAAACTTCGTGATCGGTAGAAATTAAGGTGCTTTTCATCTGGATTTTGTTGAATATATGGTGGATTTATAGTTTTTCTGTTCTCTGTTGCATTTCCTAGTTTCGTTTGATGTTAATTGAGCTTCGATTAAATGTTTGTAGATCTGATCCGGAATTTTGATATTGAATCGGTTCGATCTGGTTGATTTGATCTGTGAATTTGCAGTCGTGTGATTTGAGAATCTGACTACTGAGAGCCGAGAGGTTGTTGCGGTCATGTGTTGTAGTTGTAATTGATTTTTTCTTGTAGATCTGCGTGATCCAGGTTGTGAAGTTATTTTTTCATAAGATCGTGGTTTTACTGGTTTAGTTATTAACTTTATATGTTGTGTGATTCGGAGTTGAAAAGGAATATGCATAAAGTTTAAATGGTGCAGACATGCTTATGTATAGGTTGCATGTATGACATGGATTTAATTTTTATGGTATAGTGTGTTCTTGCAAGAAATGATTGATTGACTAGTCTCTGATTCTTGTATGCGTGTGTGTGCTGATTTAGTTCTGTTGTACGAATATCTGAATTATTTTGTTGGTGTGTGTATAATGTGATCGTGTTTGTTTGCTTCAGTAGTAAGCTCAAATTCATTATTCATTTTACTGTCTACCTAGTTTAACAAGAACATGAAGGCATTTTATCCATTCTGTGAGGTATATTTCTTAAGATGTTGTGATTGATCGATTGGAGTTGAGTCCGGCATATGCATATATAGGCATTCTGTGTGGTCCCTTTGTATTGTTCTGAAGAATTATGCTACACCTACTCGTGGTTCCTTTTGAACACGTGATGCATAGAATTCTAGGTTATGTGTTTATTAAGGATGAATATGTTAGATGATTTAGAGTAGAATGAGAGTCTATGGACCGAGGCTATTGAAGATATCCAATCTTTAATCTAGAATGGTGGCACGATGTTTTGCAGGTTTCAAAAGCGAGAAAGAGCAATGGGGCTAACGTTTACGAAGCTTTTCAGCAGGCTTTTTGCCAAGAAGGAGATGCGTATTCTGATGGTCGGTCTTGATGCTGCTGGTAAGACCACAATTCTGTACAAGCTCAAACTTGGGGAGATTGTCACGACCATCCCTACCATTGGTATGGCCATTTTTCATTCTGCTGTATTTCTGTTTCACAACATTTTAAGTTTATCTGGATTTCTGGATTCAATTATTTCGGTTGGTTACAACGGTTCCTTTCTTGGGTTGATATTGTTATCCAGGCTTTAATGTTGAGACTGTTGAGTACAAGAACATCAGCTTCACTGTCTGGGATGTTGGGGGTCAGGACAAGGTAGGATATCTTTGTATCTATGACAACCCGATCAATCTGTAACTTTATTCCATTATTCAAAACCCAAATAAACAAATTGAGCTCTTGGTGCTTCTTTAAGAAGATTGTCAGATCATAAAATGATGCAATATATCTAGCTATTTGACAATAATTATTGCTTTTTCATTGTTGGCGCCACATAAGTAGAACTGTGTTATCCTACTTCTGTTTACAGATCCGTCCATTGTGGAGGCACTACTTCCAGAACACCCAGGGTCTCATTTTCGTGGTGGATAGCAATGACAGGGACCGTGTGGTCGAAGCTAGGGATGAATTACACAGGATGTTAAACGAGGTGAATAATCACGCTAATCATGTCGCATTAAATTCTAAAACAATAATTTGATGCAACATGATATTGTTTATTGGGGACAACTCAAATATTATTGCCATTTCTATCATTGGAATGGGATTACCAAAATTTGTGGAAATTGTACGACATATATCTATTCTGTCCATTTATCTCTTGATTTTCCTTCGATTATTTCTTGACACAAAAAAGAAAAAAAAAAAGAAAAAAGAAAAAAAGGGACAAAGATTGCCCCCGACCATACTCCTAGAATTATAGTTTACTGGTCTCAGGATGAGTTGAGGGATGCTGTACTACTCGTGTTTGCCAACAAGCAAGATCTCCCTAATGCGATGAATGCTGCTGAAATAACTGACAAGCTTGGCCTTCACTCTCTCAGGCAGCGCCACTGGTATTCACATATTCATAAACCTTTGGCCCCTTTCAGATCGATACTTAATTAAATCCTTTTTAAATATCCTGATTGCTCGATTTTCTTTGCTCGATCTTTCTTGGCTTGCAGGTACATCCAGAGCACTTGTGCTACCTCTGGTGAGGGGCTGTATGAGGGGCTCGATTGGCTCTCCAACAACATTGCCAACAAGGCAAGTAGTGTGGATAAATCCAATTCGGACTCTGTTTTCGGATTTTTCCAAACTGCCTTTGCTAGTTTTTAAACTACCTGTTTGGTTAAGTTGGTTAAGTTTTTGACTGTTGATACACGTTTTTTCTTACAGGCTTAAAAAAGCTTTTGTGGAGCTGTTTGAACGAAGCTAAATGCGAAATGCTGGCAAGTTTTTGTCTGGTACTATATCATATACTAGTATTTTGGCAATATATACTTACATATTTTATGGTGTGTTGCTTCTTACGGTTAGGACCTTTGTAATGGCTGTATGACAGACAATGGTTTGTATTCTTGTCTGGTTTGATGTTATTTGTTTTGTCTTTTAATTTGGTGCTTAGAGACAAAGACTAATTTAATTGGTTTTGTATGAAATTGTGTTTTGCTTTTGTATTATTTTTCCTGGGCGTGTGAGCTTTGGGGTGTGGACGGTTCTAGTTATTTTTTG